CTATATAGGTGTGCACGTATACCACGATGGTGGTAGCTGTGTGGGCATCTACATATGTATATATACCGGGTGCAAGCATCACAAACACAGCTGGGCCGCTCCGCGCTTTTCGCCGCGTCGGGTCGATGGAGCGGGTGGTGGGAGGGGTTAGTGTGGTCCCTCTTCTTGCCCCGCTCCTCCCCCTCCCCCGACTCCATTCTGTCGCCGCACAATCAATACACGGAGCTACCGGTATATACATATATATACATGTCGACACAGCGAGACGGAAAAACCAACCGCCTCCTCCTCGCGCAGTTCTGTGCCGGCTTCTGTGGTGGTGGTGGTGGTGGTCGGGGGAGGGAACGAAGGTCCATTCAGTAGTTGGATCCTCAGGCTATCGATTGCGTGGGAGGCGGGCGACTTGCCCCCCCACCGCTTTCACCCGGAGGCTAGCTGCTGGTCCCATTCAATGGGGGGCTACACTGGCTACGAATTCACGCACGCGTGTACACGTAGACTCTCTCGCGTGTGTGCGCACCAGTTACTTATATACCACCCACCCGCTTACGGCGCTTATCCCGTCGCTCGGTGTGCGCGGTCAGGACTGACGTTCCGGAGAATCCCGTGCGCGTAGGTGGAGGAGTAGGTCAATATATGCATACGTGTCGTATATATACGTATGTATACCCATACACCCCCCCACCTCCCACCCCCCTCTGTATACGCGAGCCAAAAGCAAAGGAGTAGTCTTCAAAGACAATGATCGTCCTGTATAAGTATATACCTGAGGGTACTCATCTTATTCTCTCCATCCCTTTGTCATGTATGGTCCTACCCTTATTCGCGTCTAATATATAATTCATCTCACGTTTTTCCGCACTTCTTCCCGATCAAGTCTCTGATGCCATATGTATACCGATGGGATCGTACCTACGTATATATAGTTGTCTATAGCTTTTTTTTCCCTCCAACTAAAATGGCCCTTGGAACACAAACAATTACACACATCTCGGGTGCGCATATGACGCGCCACTGCTGGGACTTTGGTTGTTTGAGCTAATATTTCGTTGAAAAAAAAAAAAAAAAAAAAAAAAACAACGTATTTTCGTGTCATTTATCTTATGATAATTAACCGATGGAGAAAAGAGAGAGAAAAAATGAAGAGATAGCTGGATGGGTTTGTAGAGATACCTACGCGACGGGTGTCGGAAAAGTCAAAGGGAGAAGAGCAAAAAATTAAATACAAGGTAGCCGAGCTCCTCTAGACGAGGAGGATAATGGCAGGCAAAGTTCACGGGTTATCGGCGCGTGTGTTATTAACAAGGCAAGGGTTCTCCTCAGCATCCTTTTTAAATTCTTAAGTATTACCTGCAACCCATCGCTATACCAGTAACTGTAAATGGATGCGACCGGTTATTCCTTTTTTTTTTTTTTTTTTTAACTTATCAAAATCCCAACGTATAAGCCGTACAGAATACCTTCTTTTTTTTTTTAGCCTGACATAATTATTGGGGCGCTTTGTATGGGAATTAACGGTGTTTATCGTAGTGCGAATGTTCCACAAGAACCAATGGAATGCCCGATTTTTTATGTTTTATCGTTCAATCAAATTTTAATATGATTTGTAAATTTTTCAAAACCCACCGATTTCTCGAGGACGATTCGTGGCCGTGATGTACCGTGAGTTGCATGCACCTGATAGTACAAAACGCAATACACGCCCTCGAGATTGCACGAAAATTACATTATCATAGGGTTTCGATCAATGAGAGATTCTCGTTCCGTTCGCATGCAGTTGTACGTACAAGTCAATAAGTACAAGGTATTTATTTATACTCGATACTTTTCGAGTTTTACTCATTTTTTAAATATTTTCCGGTGAATCTTGTCGTAAATACTATACATTGCGAGTAAGAAAATTGCAACTGTTCATTACAAGAATATTTGGAGGATGTTATGTATTGAACCGCTTTAGCTTCAGATACAATCGTGAGGTTGAGATGCGCATGAATAATATCGTACGCAATGGACTCGTCTCTCGATTATTCAATTGTTGTCACTATTAAACAACGACAAAATGTACGCGAATCTTATGCAAAACACCTAGTTATTATGTACTTATCAATGCAGAGTGTAAGTGCAGTGACGCACCGGGTAGTCGAGTTACCGTTGAAAATTTCCAAGCAACGGACGAACGAGGACATTGTTGATTGGAACGTCACTTCCATGCATCCACCATCTGTCGGCGTATGGTTACATCCACCTATAGTTCCTCTATTTTCTGCACGAGAAATGCACCCATGCAAGATTAAGTATCTGGTTCGTTCACGTGTACCTACTTATACGTGTACCAGTAGCTATGCATAAAAGTGCGCTTACAGCCGAGCGAAAATAATCCGCTGACGCAATAAGCTCCACTTCGTTTCATCCTCCTGCATGTAGAATATAAAAAAAAGCGTTTTTCTTCCTGGTACTTAATGGCCCGACGTTTTATTAATCATACACGTGTGCCCTCCTCCCTTAATCCCTTTCTGGGCTCTGGTTATAAATTTGCTCCAATGTAATTATACCCGGGGGACGGTGTGTTTTACCTTTTTTTTTTTTTTTTTTTTTTTTTCTTTTCGGCTAATTAACGCAATAAAAACCAATAATACCAAGCTGTGCAAGCTAAGTTATTGCTCGCGGGCAGGCAATATTAGGTACATTGATTTGTTTTATCACGATATCGATACATACATACAATCGAATTTGTCTGTGTTATATTATTCTTGACTTTTTGTGGCACATCACGACATATTACATTTAATATATTTATGAAAACAGTAAAGTGATGAAGTGTGCTACTGATATTACGGTTTTTTTTTTTTTTTTTTTTTCTTTTTATAGTTATGTACACGTACCATTTTTAATCAATCTGCGTCATAACGTGCTTTTTTGTTTACTAAAAAAAATCGCAAGATTCTGTCAGTGATTTGTCAGTGAACCGAGTTCTAGTACTGAAACGGCACAACTCGCAGTTTTATCAATTTGGAATAGAAAAAATAAAGAATATAACTTTTGAAAAGAAAATATTTAGAAGAGAAGAAAAACTGTACACTTGCCGCAAATAGCACAGACAATATCGAATTTTTATTTTATATCTGTCAAATTAGTTGCGGCTGGTTTATAATTGAGTAAATGGCTCTAGGGCTAAACTGCCTAAAGCTCTCCTTCAGAATTTCAGAAGCAATTTTTGGCCAAAAAAATTTCGACCGCTAGATGGCGCTGATTCAAATAATTATTACTACTTATAGTAGAGCCATTTAGTCAATAATAAACCAGCCGCAACAAATCTGACAGATATAAAATAAAAATTTAACATTGTTTGTGCTGTTTGCGGCAAGTTTGCAATTTACCTTTTACTCAAATATCGACTTTGTATATATTTATACTTTTGGGTAAAAGATAAATGATAAACTTGCCGCCAACAATGCAAACAACGTAAAATTAAATTTTACATGTATAATATTAGTTGCGGCTGGTTTATAATTAATTAAATGGCTCTACTATAAGTAGTAATAATTATTTGGATCAGCGCCATCTAGCGGTCGAAATTTTTTTGGCCAAAAATTGCTTCTGAAATTCTGAAGGAGAGCTTTAGGCAGTTTAGCCCTAGAGCTATTTACTCCATTATAAACCAGCCGCAACAAATCTGACAGATGTAAAATAAAAATTTGATATTGTCTGTGCTATTTGCGGCAAGTTTTTAATTTACCTTTTACCCGAATATCGACTTCGTTTATATTTATACTTTTGGGTAAAAGATAAATTGTAAACTTGCCGCCAACAGTGCAAACAACGTAAAACTATATTTTACATGTATGATATTAGTTGCGGCTGGTTTATTATTGATTAAATGGCTCTAGGACTAAACTGCCTAAAGCTCTCCTTCAGAATTTCAGAAGCAATTTTTGGCCAAAAAAATTTCGACCGCTAGATGGCGCTGATCCAAATAATTATTACCACTTATAGTAGAGCTATTTAGTCAATAATAAACCAGCCGCAACTAATTTGACAGATATAAAATAAAAATTCAACATAGTTCGTGCTATTTGCGGCAAGTTTGCAATTTATCTTTTACCCAAAAGTATAAATATATACGAAGTCGATATTCTGGTAGAAGGTAAATTGCAAACTTGCCGCAAATAGCACGGACAATGTCAAATTTTTATTTTATATCTGTCAGATTTGTTGCGGCTGGTTTATTATTGACTAAATAGCTCTACTATAAGTGGTAATAATTATTTGGATCAGCGCCATCTAGCGGTCGAAATTTTTTTGGCCAAAAATTGCTTCTGAAATTCTGAAGGAGAGCTTTAGGCAGTTTAGTCCTAGAGCCATTTAATCAATAATAAACCAGCCGCAACTAATATCATACATGTAAAATATAATTTTACGTTGTTTGCACTATTGGCGGCAAGTTTACAATTTATCTTTTACCCAAAAGTATAAATATAAACGAAGTCCATATTCTGGTAGAAGGTAAATTGCAAACTTGCCGCAAATAGCACAGACAATATCAAATTTTTACTTTACATCTGTCAGATTTGTTGCGGCTGGTTTATAATGGAGTAAATAGCTCTAGGGCTAAACTGCCTAAAGCTCTCCTTCAGAATTTCAGAAGCAATTTTTGGCCAAAAAAATTTCCACCGCTAGATGGCGCTGATCCAAATAATTATTACTACTTATAGTAGAGCCATTTAATTAATTATAAACCAGCCGCAACTAATTTGACAGATATAAAATAAAAATTCAACATTGTTTGTGCCATTTGCGGCAAATGCACAATTTATCTTTCTCCCGAAAATCGACCTCTGAAAGTATAGATATTCTACTTATATGGTTTAATAAAATTGACTATATGGCACTAACTTAGTAGTGATAACATTTTTCTTCTCAACTTTTTTCAATGCATATAGTGTGTAACATGCGCAATATATTTATGTTTATTTTTTTTAAGGTTAGGTATGGGAGCATTCTCTCACATCAGCTCTCACGTCGGCTGCTATGTTTCACTATAGATAAGGAGTGAGCCTCGGTGATTGATGGCAATAAAATTAAATTGTAAATAGATAATGACAGTTGTTGACCAATAGCGTGCAACACACGAGTGCGGGAATGATTTTTAGTAAGTTTGGTACTTTCGCAAGAGTCTACCGACTAGTCACAACGACCACACGTGCATCCCATCAGTTCCGGGCCCTCGACATGCCCAGGGATCTCAAACTACGTGTCCAGGAGCTCCAGAAACAGCGTCAGCGCCTCAAGGCCCAATCCGTCAAGTATGCGCCTACTTATGCCTATCTCCAGGTAAATGACGATAAGTTTAACCCTCAAAAGCATTCACCGACTCGTTGAATAGCCCGAAAAACACAATGTTTAGTTAGACTGCATCATGCTGAAATTTTTAACATCCTCATGTAATGCAGGTCCTGGGTCATGGAACTCGTGCAGAATCCAGGTCTGTTTTTTTGTGCACCGATCACTGTAATTACGTGTTTAACTGTGGTGAAGGCACGCAACGATTGGCCTACGAACACCATGCCAAGCTCACGAAAATTGAAAACATCTTCATCACGAGGCCCACTTGGAACAATATGGGTGGTCTGCCGGGGGTCGCCTTAACCATACAAGAAACTGGAGTGCCAGAGATTTACCTCCATGGCCCTGAAGACTCGATTGGCGTTATCGAGGCGACTGAAAATTTCATGAACTTGAACGAATTGACCGTCAAACCTTTCGATATTTCTCGAACATTTAGGGATCAAACAATGATGATTAATTACGTTCTGATTCAAAAGCCCTGTGAGCATACCGATAGTGACGAAGAGTCTTCGGGATCAGAATCTGATAACATTAATTTTTATGCCTATCAAACCAGAAAAAGGCCATTCTCGCCAACACGGAAGGCAGCAAAAAAATTTCTGAAAAAACGAAGTAAAACTGATGATCTTCTAATGTTTTTTTGTAAGCTAGAAAAGAAGCTTGGTACCTTGAATGTGGAAAAGTGCCTCGAATTAGGTGTGCCTTCTGGACCTTTGATGGGCAAACTCAAGGCTGGAAAAGACGTCATACTTATAGATGGGACTGTTGTTAAAAGTGTAGATGTGGTTGGTGAAAGTGACGAAGGCCCATCGTTTATCGGTATTTACTTGAAATATTTAAAATTCTTTAAGGATAATTCATCAGTTTAAAATCACTTTTAATAATTGCCACGTTTATTTTGTTATGTAGTTTTAGAATGTCCGGATGAAGAGTGGATGAATCTTGTAATTGAAAATTCAGCTTTTGCAAAATATCAAAGCTGTGCAAATAGGGAAAATGTTTCGTGCATAGTACACTTTACTCCTGAAAAAGTACTCAAGAATCCAAAATACAAAGAGTGGATGTACAAATTTGGCTCGGATACAACGCACTTGATTGTTAACGAAGAAAACACAGGTTACTCCAGTGAAGCTATACATAGAATGCAAAATCAACTACACTTGATCCATCCCACGATATTTCCTTTCTTGCATTCCCAACCGAAATCTGTTAATCGTGAATTCACTTTGAAAAATACTTTTAATATTGATGAAGAGAGTTTCGAAAAAAGTTTGGACAGCAGTCAAAAATTCACGGAAGAAAATAAAAAAGATTTAGATGAAAGCTTTGTAAGTATCTTTAATCAATTGTATCCACTCGTGATGTTATCGTTTTAAATAACTGATTTCACTCATAATTGCAGCTCAGTGAAAACCTAAAAGTTAGGCGTTGCAAAACACTAGATGTATTTCAAATGCGACCCGAAAAAGGTTTAACAACAGAGAAAAACTTATTAATTCATCCGCGGATGTACATCCAAGAAACCATGGAAATAGATGGATTTTTAGATTCCCTTGCAGATTTACAAACAGAAATAAATGCCAAGACCAAAGCGCTAGGAGATAATTTAGAAGAGTACCCAAGAATATTGATGTTGGGAACTGGCTCTTCTATTCCCAATAAATCTAGAAACACTAGTGGTATACTTTTTCAAATAGATGAAGAAACAAGTATGTTGATGGATTGTGGAGAGTCGACTGTTAATCAACTTGTTAGATTTTTTGGAGAAGCAGAAACTGATAAAGTTTTGAAATCTATAAAAGTATGTATAATCAGCCAATAATAATTGCTTGCTTTTAAACTAAATATAACAATGCATTTTCACCAACACTTTAAATCATTTTAGGCCATTTACGTTTCTCACTTACACGCAGATCATCATTTAGGCTTGATTGGACTTTTGGAACAGAGAAAAATTATTACAGACGATCCCATATATTTAATCGCGCCTCAGCAGATAATGCCCTATCTACGTTACTACAGCAGTAGATTTAATAAAATTTTAGATAATTTTGAATTAATTAGTAATAGGGACATCCTAATGGATCATCCCATATTATCAGTCGCCAAGTCAAAAGCTCTATTTGAAGCTTTGAATATTTCTAAAATTAGTACGGTATTTGTAACTCACTGTCCATTCGCTTACGCCGTTGCGGTAACTCTAAAGGACGGACGAAAAATATGTTACAGGTAAATGAATGGCAATGGAAAAAAAAAATAGTAATGTTATTGTTGATACTTCATTGATTGACTTTCAATTGTTTTTGCAGTGGTGACACGATGCCGTGCGATAAATTGCAGCAGTTAGCACGCGATAGCTTTCTGCTGATCCACGAGGCAACGATGGAAGACGCCTTGGAAAGCGAAGCGATCACCAAGCGACATTCGACCATATCCCAGGCAATAAATATGGGTGTTAGAGCTGAAGTCAATTTTACTCTGTTGACTCACTTTTCGCAACGCTACGCCAAATTACCCTTGCTACCGGATAGCGAGCAGAGTGGCAACGATTACAGCCATGTAGGCATTGCCTACGACTTTATGTTGATTAGCCTGTCGAGGTTACCATTACTGCCACTCTTCTACAAGACCCTGGGAGTCATGTTCAACGAATTTCGAGAGGAGCTTTACCAGAAGGCCATCAAGCGCGATTTTCAAAAACAGCGACTCGAAGACGTGGTATAAGGTTTTTTGAGTCTGCACCGACAGTAGAACATAAAGTTTGGTCAACGAATATTTGATTAACTGTCAAGAATGAGACAGCTTTGTAGTATGAGAATTCCTTGTGTTGTCAAAGTTCTAATGAATTAGTACTTTGTTACTAAGAGTGATACTATTTTTTATGTATTGTACGTATTTTTTGTATATAATACATTATTTTTACGAAAAAAAAAAACTTTTTATGTATCAAACATTTATTGAAACAATATTTTTCCAAATTAACTTTTATATTTTATATACAATTGTAAATACAATGACGATAAGACTTACGGAGATACTGTTTCAATAAAGTTTCAATGTTCCATCCTTCCACAAACTTTATCATGTTCCAACAAAAAATGCTTATTACCAAATGTAAATGATTAAATTGGTACACAAAATTAATTCGTTTCAAATACTAATGAGAATTATTGTGTACACTCGCAGGCGATTTTTTAAGGACTTGGATAAAATAAAAATATATGGAATTGTTATAACATTAAAATAAAATGTTTAATTTTTATCTTCCATAAAAACCGTTTATTATTTTTACGAGTTTTGACACGTCGTTTTACATTAATCTCTAGCTTTGTTCTACAGTCACTTTGTATCGCTAGGATACGTTATAATATTGTATAGGATTATTATCATTATTTTCTTCTTACTAGTGAGCAAACAAACAAGCAGCGCTAGAAAATAAAATAATTTTTCAATATCGTTAATGTCTACTGTATTAATTTTTTAACAAACGTGTTTTCCTTTTCTCGTGTCGTTTTATTACGTCAACACGTATAATTTTACTTGTCTATGCAATATATATAAAAGTTGAAATAGGTGAAAAAAAGTAACGTTAAAATAATATTTATTAGTTACTTAGCCAAAGAGTAGTAGAAAAAGTTATAAAAGTTAAGTTTAAGAGTATATATTTACACAAAAGGCGAAACTTCTTGTATAAACGATCAGTAGCAGATGTGCAACGATCGGACGTATAAAAAATGAGCAAAATTCAGTTATTCGAAAAACTTATTGTTTATCTAGTAACTTATAAGCTTTGCTTTTTTATAAAAATGAACAATGCATCATTCGATTTTTTTTTTTTTTTTTTCGAATTGTTTTGCTAAGCGAACTCTCTCTCCTGAATAAAATCTATTCGGTATAAAAATGCACGTGTATATATATTTGTAAGTATGTAAAATATACATATATAAAAAAAAGTATCGAATTGGAATGGATTGATTCAAAGTTGGCTCTCGCTCGCAGTTGATTACACTCATATACAACTGCAAGTTCATTTCAATTCCTTAAGAGTTCGGAGTATTGCAAAAAAGCAAATGTTTTTACCTCCTTTTCCCGTAAAAAAGAGAACAATATTGTTACGCTTTTATGCGATACCTCATCAGCAGTGCAAAAATCCAAATGCGCCCAATAAATATATATGTTAGGTAAATGTATGTTTCTTAGGTGACGCCGTATTCCTTTGTAGGAATTTACACTGAATTAAATAATAATTAAACACTAAATTATCGCATACGTCGAATCACTAACTGCTTATGATTGTTTTCTTTTGTCCTCCGTACAAAAACACATCATACAAAATATCTTGTTGTAAATACGATTTCCAAAAATCTTTAGAAAATAATTGCCTCGGGGTACAAAATCATCAGTAGTACATCAATTTTTTTTTCTCGATTTTTCACCCTTACAGGACGAAAGTACAAACATACACCCATATACAGGCGGCAAAGACGTCACCCTGTATCTATGCATACATATGTGTGTGTGCGTGTGTATGTTTATGTATACTAGTGTATAATAATTTAACGAATTATTGTATACAAGAAAAGAAAAAAAGGAAGAAGAAAATAAAAAAAGTTGCACGCGCGCGCAAACGTCAATGACCCTTCTTACCTCACGTGTCGTGTCTTCTCATATATCTATACAACGTAATCACATCGATCACAATTAACACACACACACACTTTTCACCCAAGCTTTACGCTATCACGCTTCGCTTCGCGCCTGTATAATATTATGTGTATATGCATGGTATTGTAGCACTAATATAATATGTATATGTGATAATGAATACATACACAAGTTATAAGCATATTGGAGCTCGTGAGCGACTCGTCTTTCATTTATGTAGCATATTATGTCAAAGGAGAGAAAAAGAAAAAAAAAAAAAAAATACCCATGAAAAACTGTGAAAAATTAATAAATAAGCGAACGAGGAGTGGGTATAAGTAAGTAGTGGACCGTATCTCGTTAAAACTCCCACAAGGTGGCCGAGGCGAAGTCAGCCTCGCCGAGACGGAGGGCCCCGTTCTTGCCAGCCGCCAGGTAACGCCCGTCCGTGCACTTGATCGCCAGCCGGGAGGGCTCGCGCAACTCAAGGTAGAAACCGCAGCCCGGGGCGTCCGAGTCCACGGTCACGCCTTCGCTGTCCACGTGCCAGTACTTGCCGTTCTGACCTGTTGTGCACGAAATGGGAGAAAAATAAAACCAGCCGCATGGTAAAAGAATGCACATGTTGTAACGAGTGAAAAAAAAAAAAAAAAAAAATAGGCAAAGAAAAGCCGACCCTTACCTTTGAACCTGACGACGCCGCGCTCGCACCTCTCGACCCGTATGGTCTCGTAGGCGGCCTTGTTGCACTCGAGCTTGGGACCGGCCGCGCTCTTCGGGCCAACGAAGCCCTGCTCGCACCTAAGTACGAGGACCGGCCGGTTCATCAGGTAAAAGTAATACTTGGACGCGTCGTTGTCGACTGCGTTTATGTCGTCGGCGTTGGCGTACAGGTGCCCCGAGCGCTTGGTCGCCACGTATCTGCCGTTGTTGGCGCGCAGGGCCACCGTGCCGTCTTCCTGCTGCCAAATCATGTCGAAAAGGGCGTTGGAGGAGCGCTTGTGCTCGGCAGCCTGGATACCGCCGCCCGACTCGAGACTCCAGTAACGGTCCTGCATCGTCCGCACGTACCAGCGCTTCGTCGCCCGGTTGAACTCAAGCTGGAAGGTCTCGTGGCCCGATATCTCGTCCTGGTTGGCCGTCACGTCGACGCCTAAGGCAACGGAAAACACATAGTATACAGGGGGGATGGATCATTTTCGTTCAAAGGGCCAAATGAAAAATACATCTATCCTCCGATCTGCGATGATACTCCACGCACGGCCGAAACGCAGCTTTATCGATACTTCAAAGTGAGTGAGTCCATTAAATTGGGTATACCGTGATGTGTAGTTATCATTATATATGTATATGTATGTATAGACTCTCGCGTGCATGCACGGGGTGTTTAAGCATGCCATCATCGGCACAGCGCGCAGCTCATGAATTTCTAAAAGGCTCCATTTCCGGCTGCAGCCGTACGGATTATAAAAGCTAAAGAAAAAAAAAAAAAAAAAAAAAACACCCACACAGCTCCTCTCTCCTGTATAAGTATATAGGGTTTGATCTTTTGCTTTTACGGCTGCAATGAGTAGACTCGAATGAACCCACGTTAAGTGTACGTGTGAATGTTTGTTTAAATTTATTCTTACTTCTCCAAAGTGCTCGGCGTATGTTTGATTGGCGGATAGGAACGCGTTGTTCGTCGATTGGAAAAGACCGATGTTCAACCGATTTCATTCACAAATTTTTTTTCTCTAGCGAACAATGAGAGTACCGCATATTATGATGGAAATCCGTGGGCTCCGAGAACGCGGGGGAAGTAAAAATATCAAGGTAAGTATATATTCGGGCACATGGTGAGCTAGTCAAGGTCGCCGCAGGGGGGTGGCACAATGGCAGGAAATGAACTTGGGGAAAGGAATAAAAAAGAAAAGAAAAGACACGCTCAAATATACGGATGAAGAGCCGTGAATCAAGAATATACTTTTAGTAAAGTTTTCACGTTTGATTTGACACGTGAAGAAATCGTACGGCCAATCGGCATGAAAATACTCACATAAGCACCGATTGCCATAAAAATCTCGGTGTCACAAACGCTCTTCAATTAGATCGGATTCAATGAGATTACCCGGTTTGTATATGTAACCATAAAAGGCACTGATTCGAGAACAAAAAAAGGACGAGCGGAGAAAACGAGACCAAACCATATATACATAAAAAAAAAAAAAAAAAAAAAAACAACTCGTCAAAGTATATATGTATATTCAAGAATTACATTAAAGAGAATAAATAAATAAATAAGAAGAAGCAAAAGAAAAAGGGGGGAATTGATAATATATGATCCATGCGCCCTATCGCGTCAATTAATCTAAATCCTCCTCTGCGGAAATTGTTTCGTCTAATTGTAATTCAACGACCTCGAGTTGAGAGAGATAGGCACCTCGCGTGGCTTGTTATAATCGTGTGTACCTATGCGCCGATTGCAGATGCCTATCGCCTCATTGTTTCATGACTCGACGAACGGGAAAACAAAAACGTGGACGAGAATACGAATTTTAGAGGAATTCCCGAGCCGAAGCTAAGTTGGCCAGATGGTGGTTTCGTAGGGAGAGACGGAAGTAAGAAACAAGTGTTTAGAAAATATTCAGGACCGGAACGTATAACATTTGCAACATATATGTAAACATCGGATGAAAGAACGCGAGTCGGAATGGAGACCGAATCATCTCCCCCTGACGTGTGGTTACCGAAAAACGAGAAACAAATTTCGAACGTATACACCACAGTTGGCACTACCGTGGCCGTCCATATTTGACTGACAGACCATATTGTCTGTTTCTAGGCACTCTTGTTCATTAAATATCACGCTTTTTTGATGGACAATTCAATAAAACTCACGAGGTGATTGTTATTTGTTATTCGCAGTGCAATCACCAATGGTTTTCCCTGACCGAGAATATTGATACTCCCTGACAAAGAAAATCGTCACCGTCGTCGGGGTAAACACCCTTGGGCCTTCTTACATCAGCGACCCCGAAGAAAGGGTGCACAGGTAGTGCTGGGGGGGGGGGACGAAAGGTCATCATCTCGCGTGGGTACACGTGCTTGGGAAGAAAAGAAAAGAAGAAGAAGATGTAGTAAAGGAGTGTGGAGTGTCGCGTGTTGGCTAATTTCGGAGCGCCGGGCGGCGGAGCAGATATTTGGAGCTCGGCCAGCTCCTTGGTTTCTCGACCACATATACCGACTCCTCCACCTCTTGCATGCAGGTACTTTATTTATTATTGTTTTTTTTTTTCATTCCGGACATTCCCACGAGACAGGCGCGCGTTCGCTCGGCATCTCTTTTGCTGTGCATCATATGCATTATCACTGCCCATATGCCTGTTGCATGCACGTGGAGAGAGAGATAAGGAGGAAAGTAAACGCACGTCCCTCTACTGCAGTATATATGTCCAGCCGATCGGTCTGGGAATCGTTATAACAGTGAAAATGATAAACGCGCGCGAGTCCATCAACAGTAGTACAATAGATGCAATGGGTATGCGATCGAAACGTCAGGATGATCACTCTCTGCTCCACAATACCCTTCCAAGCACATAATGTATATACACACGTTCGACGTACACGAGACACAATGAGTATATATTATACTTACAATCGATCGTACGATTTTTTTTTTTTTCTATCGACTCAGCAGTCGAGGCTTTCTAGTTGTGCCATTTAAACAATAACGTGCCTTATACACATAATTGTATATCATCTACGTTAACTGCTTCGTATGTTTTCATTATTTGGCTGATGCGTTAAAAAAAAAAAATAAATAAAAAATAAAAATAAGAGCTTCTACTGTTACTACATTACACTGTTCCGTTCGCCGAATCAGAATGGAGGAACAAGAAGACGCTGACGCGATTTATTTTTGTACGTATGAAGGCATTTGTAATGGACTCACGGAGTTAAGAGAGAGAGAGAAAGCTAAATTGCAATGACTCGATTCCGCGAGTTTCGTCCCAGTCGTACCTACTTACTTGGCAGCGTAAAAACACACAATGCGCATTGTCACTTTTTTTTTTTTTTTTTTTTTTTTGTAGGTATATAGGCACATGTGCATAATGTGCACACATAAATTTAGTACATGGTGCATCAGTTAAACTGCACGAGCGAGCGAGTTTCCGTATACTTTTTTGCTTGGACTGGAATGTAAAGGGTTTCTGGGTCATATATTCTGATTCACAATACATCATATTATCCTACATAGCACATGTGACTTTCAATGTACCGAAACAGCGATTTATAAATGTGGCTCTCACGACGAGTGTATAGCACTAGTGATGAAAGTTTATTAGGTCAAATGTAGGGGGGGATATCTTGATGGAAAAAAAAAAAAAAAAACAACAATGTTGACCAATGACCTCGAGGGACTCCTCAAATGTATGTAGATGTGACCAATACTCCAAGAACATCGGCTCACCAGAACAAAAGCGCAAAGACAAGAGAGAAAGAATGAGAAGTGTGGCATGGGGTTGGCAGAGTATATAGAGGAGATAGGTATGTGATAGGTACAACAAACACTTACGGTCCAGCCGGTCCTGTCGACGCCGTTCTCGGCGCTATCCGTGCCGTTGCTCTGCATCTCTTCTTTTTTTTCGTCTCCTCCTCCTCGTCCGGCTCCTCCGTAACTCTATGTGCGACTATTCCGCGCCGGTCACACAACTTCCGCGTCGTCGTACTCTCTCGGCTGTACAAGTATACCAGTATATATACTGTTGTAATGTTATGCAAGTACGATATGGGGGATTACGCGCGACCTCCTAGTCTCTCTCCCTCTCTCGTGTGTATAATGTTTATCCAGGTAATTGTGCGCTGTTGGGCCCAACAATGCCCCGGGCTTTCTCGCGTTCTTCTTCTTCTTCTTCTCGTTGTCCTCCGCGAGCTACGCCGCAGCCGATGTGGACCTTTTGCTTCTTTCGGAGTACGCCGACAACTACAACGACCTGAAACATCGACGGAAAAGAAGAAGAACAATAATTATACGCGAATGAGACATTCTTTTCCTATCTCTCTTTGACGCTATTGCGTTACGTTATCGATTTTTGTGGCAATCTTGTCCCACTGATCGGTATTTCTTTTTTGTTTTTGTTTAAAGATGTATACCTGTACGTCGATGTGTTATTATTAATTGCGTATATTATATATATATATTGTCATTGGATTGAGATAAAGATCGCATAGTTTGGGTGGCTTTGCTAATATTAATATTATTATCATGTACTCGTCAACCATTCAATACCTATATATATTATGTACATGTAGATCGAAATAAAGGATCACAATATACACACACGCCATTCTCTTTTTGAAGGACTGCGTTTCTGTATAAGCAACAGCAACAAAAGGATCCTCGAAAGGAAGGAAGAGAATAGCCAAAAGAGCGAGAAAAAAAAACCACGAACGGTAATTACGCGCTGGGGGTACCTATATAATATACACGAGCCGAGGTAAGCAAAATAGCTGGGGATAAAGGATGTCCGTGTCCGAAAAAACGGCGCGACTCCATTCATATAGACGACAATAGGCGGCCCTCGAAGAAAAAGAAAGGAAAGAAAACAGTGCAGCAACCGTAAATAAGCCTCTCTGCACATAATATGTCCGTGATGCGATGTCGATGTGTGTGATAGGTAGTAAACAGAGGTGCTTTTGATGTCTTCTCTCGGAGAAGTCGGAGATAATGCGATATCTGGCATATATTATGCAGGTACACATGCACGGACGCTATTAAGCGTATAAGGAAGACGAGCAAGAACTGCAAGAAGGAAAGAGAATAAGGGGCAATATACTTACATACACCTGTATACCTATACTCCCCGTAATGAGCACACACGAACCAACGGCCAACTGCGCGCGTTATACACCTATAGGTATACCTACGAATGAGCCCAATATATGGTTTATATGCTCCGCGCCCATTCACGTGTTAGTTTATGCTGCTTCCTCTTGTGTTTGCAGTGCGTGTGTACAACGTGTACCGTTTCGCCCGTAAATTTTCACGCCCGTGCGATATTCTCCCCCAAAGCCGCGACCTGGTTCGTTTTTTTTTTCCTCCCCTCCCCCGTACAGGTCGCGAAAGAAATAGGAAAGGAAGACTCGTCACGATAAACCTAGTGGTCGCCTCTCTTTTTCAGAACAATGGCCCCTGGAGAGCCAACGTATAAATGTCATCCGGTGCGCGAGATGCGTATAATTAATTATACATAGGCATATACGTACACGCATATTACACGAGTAAATAGTCCCTTAGAATGACGAGAGAGTGTGCCTTGCGCGAATTTCATTCAATCACGGAATACCACGGCAAAATTAACGAGCCCGCGCTGTTGTTTCCTTTTGTTTTTTGTTCAAAATGATCGGTCCTTTTTTTCAGCGCCTCTGAGTTTGGGTCCTTGGGTGCAATCGATTATACGATTCCTTCAAAGTATAACGTAATTTTATATGCAAGGGTGCGCTCGCTCTTTTGAGCTTTTAATTACCATTATTTCGCCCAAGAGTCGATTGGCCAATGAGAAGAGGAAAAAAGAAAAGGTACTTTGAAATCGGTTTAATCGACTGTGGGGGGGGGGGGATTGAAAATTTCCGTCGTCGAAACGGTACACGTGTGATGTTGCAGAGCCTGATGGCTATCGCTTTATTGCCATGCAGTTGTAAATTCATTTGTGATTTTTGGAAAAAAAGGGAGGGAACTGCATCATCCAACTCTCGTTTGTAAAAAAAAAAAGTATTTTTAATCTCAAACATATACGGCACGTTGGGTGGATTAAACATCGTTCACGATCATGTATAGTTTAATCCGATGAAACGCGAGCGCGCGCGCGCACGGTCATTAGCGCGAGGAAGTTGTAAATCATCGTCATCGGAACGCCATAAAATTTGCAACGCTAGAAATACTTTTGTGCGTTTGCTCGTCCAACGGGACCTTTTTCTTCTCTTTCGAAACGATATGGATGCACGTGTACGTGACTATTATACGGCCACTCGATGAAGTCGATGAATGAGTGTATGTGACATCATTTTGTCAGCATCGGAGCTACACGTTTAATTATTGTCAATAGTGCAATTGATTGCGAGCGAAACTGGACACGCGCAAACGAGTAAATCCACCAATAAAACATAGATAAATGTATATTATACCCCATGTACTTATACCACAAAACGCCAAAGTGGGGGAGAAACACAGTCCAAGCCCCTGCCCTATCATGGTCATATATACATATACGCAGCAGCTGCACCTATACATACATACAGCGTGTACAGCAGAGGTATTGATCCCATGGCTTTGGCCGAGCAAGAGAGCATAGCCGAGCACAGCACTGCTCAAATTGTCTCGAGGAATCTACAGGGGCTCTTCTTTTTTAAGCCAAAGTCGAAAGACAATTTCATCCTTGTTTTTTTATTTTTAATTTACCGGAGAGGCGCGTAGTGTAAATTATGCGACGATGAGGGCTTACGGTAAACAAGTAAATCCGGTTTTTAATGATTTCTGCTGTGCGTATGATTATTATTATCATCGTATGAACTGTATATCTGCAAAAAAGAGGGGAAGAAAAAAAAAACAACAGTCAGAGACACAGAGACGCGGGGATGACAGGAGATACATGATATACCAGAGCATTTATTGCGAGGCACGTAGGGACACGTATATTTACCGGTAATAAAAAATTGTAAGTAAAAAGGCAATAGAGGGCCGGAAGCTGGTTATAGGCATCTTTAACATGGAAGCTTGATAAAGAAATGGTGTGGCAGTAGCCATGAAAAAGAGAGCACGAAAGGCCGTATACAAGGATGCGGTGCCATTGAGATGGGACTCACAAATATAAGTTCGTGGTTTATCAATGCAACGAAAAAGAGAGGAAGAACGATGAATGTGTGTGTGATGCTGCATTTTATAATTGTTATACAAGATTGTAAGGGGCAACGTATACCATCATAATATTATATACCAAAGGTTCGGAATTACCTTCAACGCGGTACAACGGTATATACACTACCTACCTATATAAGTTTGATCCCAATTTTTACCGGTTGGCATCCAACTTGTAAAATTTCAATTTCGATATATCTACAGATCTTTGTTTCCTCCCTGTAATATACAATCCACTCCTCCTCAAACAACGCCTTCGGCTACTTCGTTGTCATCCTCATGGCCCCGGAAGAGATAATTATGTATATACTCCATATACGAGCACTTGCTCTCTCTCCTACTTCCAGAGCAAACCGAGAAGAAGAAGAAGAAGATGCGCGCAGCTGTCGTATAACGTATACCTTCTATCCTAACCGGAGCTCGGCGTGTAATGTCCTGTCATTCGGGACAGCACGTACCTCCTTCCCTCGGGCACACGCGACTCTTTCTTTTTTTTTTCTCCCATACACATGTTAATTTTCTCCTTTTATTTTTTCTACACCTATATACGTATATGCATTCTCGCCCTTGATGCGTTATTATCAGCTCGCATACCTTAACATATACACATATACATATATATGCCCTTCCGGTATATACGCGTGTACACGTAAACGAGAAAGGTGATGTGCGCTCGTGATGATACAGCGTAAACGATTCGTCGCACCCGCGTGCCTCGGTTAAATGCTCGCACGCGTATATTATATACATACGAGATTGTAATATGAAAAAAAAAAAAAAAAAAAAAAAACGAAACTTTCATCAAATTGTGAGCCCAACACGCACGTATCAGCGTATAATGTATAATAAATACGTTAATACGCGAAAGTTTGTCGTCACGGTTGTTGCATGCGCTTTTCGCGCTATTTATTCTTCGAGCGAAACGTGCGAGCTGGACCGTAAAAAAAAAAAAAAAAAACCCGATAGAGCGAATCAATCTTCTTTCTCTCTCTTTGTAGGTATACAAGTAAATAATATATATATTCGTATGCGCATGATAGGTATATAGACATGTCGCATCGCAACCCATACAAGTGCTGCTGCGTGAATCCTGTATATTTTTCAGTTCAACATTTTTGTCCTCTCTCTATGTATACATTCTCCTCGTAAGTTATATAACTTTGAAGATGCATCGAAGCAACATGAAATAAAATGATCATTGGTAGCAATAGATATTTAAAGGTATATATATATACACACCTGGGGTCGGGCGGCGAGATGGACGAGCCAGTACTCGGACTCGCCGGGCGCCTTGGCCGTGCACTTGAGCTCGTCCTGGCTCGAGCCTAGAAAATAGCCCCTCTGCACGTTCTTCAGCGCCCATCTTCCGCTTCCTGTCAACCAGTTAGTTTAAACAATTAAAAAACCACGAGTCAACCATCATATTATACGTACACCTGCATCACGCGTGCTCGTGTTTGAGGAAAAAAATTAGGAAAAAAAAAAAAAAAAGAAAAAGAAAGATTAATCCATAAAGCCGTAAGTGCGGCTATCAAGCCGATCGAGCGAAACGGGGATTAACAGCGTCTTCCGTGATGAAAGTACATTGTGTGTGTGTGTGGCAAAGACAATTTCGTCGATTATACGAGCCACACATGTTATACAGGGGCGGAGAAAAATTACAAGTGGATCGCCCATCGTTTATATACACATTTTTAACTATACCGTACGACAAAGAATTAAAAGCCAACATAGCGAACAGAAAAAAAATTAAAATAAATAAAAGTACCATTATAGAACATATTAATCATTGGGAATGTCACACGAGAGAGATTACACTCGCGCAATATGTACATGTATATAGCATGTTACGCAAGCCCTCGCTTGATTACGCTCAGAGTATACGATACACCTAAATCTCGGGGTATAGTGGTGGCAGTTGTAATTAAAAACCATAATTGTGGTGCTAGAAAGTCCCCTGTAATAGCAAGAAAGACCAAATAAAAGCGGAGGGATAAAAGCGCAAATTATACGGAGCTCCTTGCTATGAGGATAACGACAATGACTTACCGTCGCAGGCGATTTGAATCTGGAAAGCGCAGCCGGGATCGGTGGGGTCCTCGGCCTCGCAGGTCACGTTGCCAAATTGATCGACGGCGAGGTAACGGTCGAGGTGCGAGCGCAGGTACACCTGGTGCTCGTTGCCCTCGAGGGTCCAGTGTTGCTTCTTCTTCAGAGTTGCCCCGTTGGCGTTTATCTTGAAGCCAAACGTCTCGGCCGTCAGGTACTTGAACTTGCCGTTTATCAGGCCGACCTTGGGACCATTATTTCACATACTGTTATTGCTGCTTTTTTTTTCTTTCTTTCTTTTTTTTTTTTTTTTTTANAAAAAAAAAAAAAAAAAAAAAAAAAAAAAAAAAAAAAAAAAAAAAAAAAAAAATACTTATACGCGGTTATAATCGCTCCATCATAGGTACGTACACACAACGCGCACCCATCGAGCGTTAATTATTTCCGCGGATCGAGCGGAAATTTTCAATCGGAGCACCCGTTAGATACATGGTACATGATGTCTCGCGACGACGAGGAGGTTCGCGTAAAAGTAGGCTGTTTGCCGAGTCAATTTGCTACGGGACTAATATGTGCCATTATATATATGCGAGTACGGAAGGGGGTCCATTATTTTACATGATTGTACGAGGGCAAGCGGCGTTGTGACCTGTTATTGAATTTTTTTTTTTTTTTTTTTTCTATTCTCCTCTCTGCGATCTAGATACACCTACTACCAACGCATCCATCTGTTTCCCAAAAAATGGCACACGCTATTGATTTTTCACGTATTATTTTAATTAAAATGTTAGACTTGAGTTCTAGTTTTGTACTATTGTTTGTCTCCTCGCATCAGGAAAGGCAACTCGTTCCAGGTAGAAAATTTTCCCGTTTCGTCGCGTAAAGGCAATAAGCAAATCAACGTCGCGCCACAGTAAGCGGCTGCAGGTGCGTCAAGCGATCTGTAAAGACGAAGCGAGAGAGAGACGCTCGATCGACTGACCGTAACCCCAAGTCGTTCTGGTATACACGTATTTGCCTGTGAAGAAACAAATTATTCCACTTGCCTGTACCTACTTGGCTACGTATTTTTTCACGACTATACCGCGTACAATAGAACACAACTTTATTGCTTGGGCACCTTTGCTTTTCTACTGAGCATCTAACTATATAGGCTGCACCAAAGAAATAGATTATTATTATTTTAAACTCTTATCATCGGCAAATTGATTGGAATAAACATTTTTGGATATCAATATGTATTGACTTATTTAAAGAAAAGAAAATAACAATAATGTGTTTGTATTCAAATGAATAATTATTTATCCACAACTATTTCATTGTTTCAAACCTATAATACCTGTACATAATAATTTTAAGTAAAAAAGCTTTAACTAAATAAGAAAGTTATTCACAGTAATATTTATGAAATATTTTATTGAGCAAAGTAACAAATTTTTTTAATTCAAACAAATTCACTTATTTGGATCAACAAAATGCTCTTCTCGATATACTCTAGAGCTTTTAACAAAATATATGATGTATTTACAATTTCGACCTACTTGGGCGTACGCGCGTGTTTCCGTAATTTTTTTTTTTCGGTTACAGCTTAATTATCACGTTGCTGTACGAGGTCGGTTTAAGAGGTGATCGTTTAAACTGCGCCAATAAACGCGAAACCAGCCACCGTTAGCTTCGGTTCTTTCATTTTATCATCGAAATCGTTAAAAGCGTCCCGTTATACGTGCACTCACTCGTTATTGATTTATTCACCGTTTACTTTTTTCAATCGACGCCCCGGAAATTGTTTTGTCACTACATGAGAGTTAATCGGTACAGGTAATATACCTATGAGTTATGATTTTTTTTTTATTTTTTAATCGACATCAAGCAACAAAAACCGATAACACAACAAATAAACAAAAAGCGTTAAATCTTACGGAACATCCGACATTTTGATTCCATATTTTATCACATGCAATTACTTTTTTATACATCTAAAAATCGATGACAGTCAATAGCGCACAAAGTTTCTAATCCAGTCGAAAACTATATTGATAAAAAGCGCACATCACAAGCTCCATTCTTTCTACTGACAGGTTCAAGGGACTCTACGTAAACTGATTTCAATATTGAATCATCGATAATGTATTGACTACTCTAGCCTGCCTTTGTTGATATTTTGAGATCAAGTGTTGTATACCATTGTTACGGATCAATACTACCATAAACATACTGGATGGGTGTGCCATAAATATTATCATTCGGTTTGTGCTTGCAGCCCTAAAAATATAATAGAACTGTCTCTCCTCGAAATAACTCGGATGATCTCTCGAGATTCTCCCCCCTCCCCCATTTCCTTAAATATGTATAATACGTGGGGAGTACGGAAACCTCGTCGTAATTATCAGCACCGTGTATGGTTTAGGTATACCTATTTGCGTATGTACGTACATAAAATATACTTATAGAGAGAGGGAGAGCTGTGCTTGCCAACGGGACGGGCGACGCGTCGCATACTTGGCCGCGCCAAGTATAGAACGAGAAAGGGAGTTTTGCTGGCATATCATTCGTGCAGATATAATACAATTTACGCTCAATATTGTGTATAGAGTGTAAAGTTGGGACGAGCGTGAGGGTATGGATAATGATGTACACGTGTCGACGCTAATGCGCCATAATGATTAATAAGCGCGCGTCGGTTAAGGTAAAACGGGACTCTTTTGCAGCCAGACGTAACAAATTATATCTATAGCATACACTGTATACTTCACTTATCACTGCGTATTTTGTCTTTACTGATCGGACAACTGATTATTTTTTTTTCCATCATCTATGACCACATATAGGCATGTTTGAGATGTAAATAATTTCAGCGAGCCGATTGCCAATTATTTGTAATTGTAGATTTTTTTCGTATCGGCGCGTTTATCGCGCGTAAGTACGTCGAGAAACGAATCTCGGGCGTTGCGATTAAATCAATTAATTTGTAAAACCATATCGAACGCAACGTATAATCGTGACCATTGCTGCCCCCTCCGCGGCATTGAAATATTTTTACGCGTCGTTTACGTACTTATTCATTTAATTATCTTATCCGCGATTTTCGGGGCACTTAGTTTCGTTATTGCATCACCGGGGAGAACAAGACACGGTGTTTATTATTGTTTTTCCTCGCAACCTTCTGTTATTAGTCGCGTGGGACGCGGAAATCAAATGAATCAATTAAACGGGCAACGAGCGCGTGAAAACGGTAAGAGTCCTTGTGTTTCAATTATTTCGCGGTGCCGCGTGTTTGGAGGTAAAAAGAACCTCTTAATGATTTTGTTACTCACGAAAGGCACAATTAACTCTTGAAATTATAGCGACATCGCCGACTGATGGAACAAATGTTATACACACCTACTAGGTATACTTACTAATAAACGAAACGGCGATCGAAGACAAAACGCGATAGTTATACTATCTTGTAATTATAAGCGTAATCGGAACAAGTTGTGAAAGCGACATCAACATAAAATGAATGGATTTCTTTGATAGTAGCTCCGAAAGTCGAACTTTAATTTGGCTTTAATGATTTTATTTCTTTTGACTAATATTTTTCTTGAAAAAATGAGTTCTTAAATTGTTCTCTGTTGCGATAACTCCGGCGAATACATCAAGCCATATATGCGGAGTTGATTGGAAATTAAATTTAAGAATCGTTATTTAATTAATTTTAAAAAACGTGCAGGTACAACAGTATGATTGGGATACAACTGTAGAGACGTGAGCTGTGTACACTACACAAAGTTTACATGATTTAAAATGGTTCTTTGTCAAATATTTTCTTTACGGTTCATTCAAATTGATACCTCACAATTTACAACTCATCAAAATAAATCAAAACGCGTTATGTTTCTCCTCGAGTAAAATCCAACGTTTACAAAAAAAAAAATTACCTTGAATTTTAATTGAAAAAGCATGAGATGAAGCATATTTCAAGTTCAAGTTTTTATCGTGATATTATACAGTAATACATATAGCTGTACGCATCAACCGTACCATCTCGATTGTGAATCAAAATCGGTACTTGTACATGTTGTACTACAATAACAGTCTAAGGGGAAAAAGCGTATCCTATTCTACACACTACACACGCACGCAACATAGTCCCTAATAGTATCATCTCGCTCGAGAGCGCGATGATGATGATGATGATGATGATATCCTCCCAATTAGAAAAATGCAATTGTAAGTAGACCGTCTAGCGACACGCGTGCTCTGCTGTACATACACACATCGTAACGTAAAATATGCGGTGTGTGTGTTCATATGCGTGCTTATACGTGTGTAAAAGAGAGTTTATGGAGAAAAGACTCGCGCATTGGCAACAGATGAGGGGCACAAGTATCGCAGCCGGGCTATAACGAGGACACGAGGCGCGAGATGTGAGAGAGTAAAAAGCTTCTTTTGCAGCTGCAGTTAAAGCTCCCCCTTTTGTGTCCTCATAGCCGATGTTTTATCCATTTTTTGAGGGGTGCCTTTTTTCCATACCAGTCGCACTCTCGGGAAGAAGAGCTTGCGGCGCATTGTACTTTTTGTTAAAAAAACGTCCACGAGTATATACATTATTTATACATATGCAAGCGAAGCATCTCGGCTTTTTTTTTTTTTTATCATCGCGAAAGAGGTGACGACTGGTTGAAACAAAAATTATGATGATAAATCATCCCGAGGACATCTTGTACCTGTTTCACAGGACGATTTTTAATTAGCTCTCATCTGCAGACAGACACAACTCACACATGTGTACAATTAAAAGAAAACTCGTCTTTGCACGCGTATGTGTAAAATATATCATGTGCACAGGTTTTCAAGCCACGCGATCATGATGAGATTATCCCGTCGAAAGTTTATCACGTGTAATTATTTATTACTATTAATCTAACGCGCAACAGATTTTATTGGCCAAGTTATTATTATTAGATCTTGTTTTTGAGCTTCTACGCTTGTCGATTCAGGCTTTTTGTATAGCAATGTGCCATTTTTTGTGTACATCCGTGTCAAACCGTATAGTCTATTGTAAAATGGTTTCACCGTGTGTGCGTATACACGATTCATCTAATTGGACAACCACGAGAAGCTACTTCGTTTCCAATTTGTGCCGATTAAAAACAACTAACACACATTGCAGTTTATTTTATGTACCCATTCGGCGATCGTCGAATCATTAAACCGCACGCGCTACAAACGACGGTAACGACGACCGATTCTCTCCGTCAAGAAAGTCTATCGCTTTCCGCTTACCCGGTTTCCCATTTTTTTTTTTAGGGCATATATAATTACAAAATGGGCCCTCCTAACGAATTGTTAAATTGAAGAATCCATACTTGTTTCAGAATCGAACAGAATTTTGATGCAAGGCGGCACCGTTGCTCAAGTTGATGGCCAAACATCAATTGCACAGGGAAACCATTGCACCAAGGTAAAATTTAATTTTTCCACTCAAACGTAATGATATCTTAGTTACCTTGTAA